GGCACACACATCTTAATAAAAGGTCTAACAGCTGATAATGCATATCAGAGCAAAAACCAAGCCCTGAGGTCAAAAGAACTGCCTGTAGAGCTCAGAAACAGGTTTGCGTCAAGCCACACATCTGTGGAAGATTTCAGTAAAAAAATTCTGCTTCATTGAAGTCTCTGTTACCCTTAATGGAAGAAGTTTGAAACAACCGGGACTCTTCCTAGAGCTGGCCTCCTGGCCAAACTGAGCAATTGATGGAAAAGGGTCTTGGTTAGAGTGGTGACCAAGAAGTTTATGTTCACTCTAGTTGAACTCCATGATCATATATGCAAATGGGTTAAATCTAGAGAAGGACAAATATCACTGCAACACTCCACCGATATGTGCTTTATGTCAGAGTGGCCAGACTCAATCTTCTCCTCAGTGAAGATACATGAAAACACACTTGGATTTTGCATAAAAACACCTAAAGAACTCTCAGATTCTGAGAAACAAGATTATCTGGTCAAGTCAAGTCAAGTCACCTTTATTTATATAGCGCTTTTAACAATACAGGTTGTGTCAAAGCAACTGAACAGCATTAATTAGGAAAATAGTGTGTCAATAATGCAAAATGACAATAGTAAAAACTAATTTTTCAGTTAAAGGCAGTTACCAGCAGTTCAATTTCAGGCTGCAGCAAAGTCACATTGTGCAGAGGACTCATCTGGTTCCTGTGGTCTTGTCCCGGTGGTCGTCTGAGACAAGGTCTTTACAGGGGATCTGTATCTGGGGCTCATCTAGTTGTCCTGGTCTCCTCTGGTCTGATGAACCACAATTCCAAGCATCATGTTTGAAGGAAACCAGGCACTGCTCATCACCTGAAGAGTATCACCCCAAAAGTAAAGTGTGCTGGTAGCAGCCTCATGCTGTGGGTCTGTTTATCAGCGGCAGGGACCGAGGGACTCATCAGAGTAGAAGATAAGCTCAATGCACCAAAATAATGAAGTAAGCCTTAATGAAAACCCAGTCTAGAGCATTCAGAACCTCAGACTGGGCAGAAGGTTTACCTTCCAACAGGACAATGACCCTAAGCACACAGCAAGAGAGGCTTATAGACAACTCTATGAGTGTCCTTGAGTGGCCCAGCCAGAGCATGAGCTTGAACCCAGTCAAATATTTCTGGAGAAACCTGAAAATGTGCATTTGCTCCCAACCAACCTGACAGCTTGAGAGGTGAAGAGGTAAGGAGAAGAATGGCAGATAATTGCCAAATGATGATGATCAAAGCTTGTCGCATTAAACAAAAAAGACTCGAGACTGTAAAGGTGCTTCAGCGAAATATTTAGTTAAGGGTATGAATACTTATGCAATGTACTTATTTCAGGTTTTTTTATTTTTAATAAATTTACGAAGTTGTGACAATTCTGTTTTTGCTTTGTCAGTATGGTGTATGGAGTGTAGATCGATGTGGAAAAAAAAAGTAATTTAAAGCAGTTTAACATAAGAAAGCAACATAACAAAATGTGAAAAAATGAACGGGGTATGAATACTTTCACAAGGCACTGACCTAACATGGCCTAAAGATAATTTGAAAGATAAGATGTTTGTGACTTATGTTCCAGTCTAACTAGTATAACAACTGCTAAGCACTTGTTTACAAGAAGCAGACAAAACAAAGTCAAAAAATGTTTATACTTCTTCCATTTGAATGATGCCAGTCCTCCTCTCTGCAGGAAAATGTGACCCTCTTTGAGGTTGTCTGGAGGTGGAGGCAAGGGTGAAGATTCCATTTCCACAGACCCATTCACAAGAGGGCTGTATATGTTACTGTAGATGATCTGATTTACCAGCTGCATGATCTGAAGGTGAGATAGTCATCACAAACCCAGTTTGATTAAATCAATAATTACGCATTATCATCAAATGAGCATGCAAACTCAAAATAATAATGATTTAGAAAGGACAGCAGAAAGAAATATTTTTGCTCAAATGTACTCACCCTCAGGCCATCCAGGATATAGATGTGTTTGTTTCTTCATGGGAACAGATTTGGAGAAATATAGCATTACATCACTTGCTCACCAGTGGATCATCTGCAGTGAATGGGTGCCGTCAGAATAAGAGTCAAAACAGCTGATAAAAACATCACAATAATCCACAAGTAATCCACACCACTCCAGTCCATCAGTTAACATTTTGTGAAGTAAAAAAAAAAGTGTTTGTATGAAACAAATCCATCATTACAGTGTTTTAAATTTAAACCATTGATTTTTGAGTTGATAATCCATTATATTGCTTTCTCCAGTGGAAAAGTCCAAAGATACCAACATCTTTGTTCAGATCTGTTTTAGACTGCTTTGGCTTATAAACGGTGCTTGATCTGCGTGCTTGATCTGTGCATATTTCTCTCCTGATTCAGACAAGATGACTTTTTCACTGGAGACTTTTTGCTGGAAGCAATGGTTTGAAGAACCATTTTTAGAAAAAAAGTTGTAATAAAGGATTTGTTTCAACACGCAGCTTTTCACTTCACAAGATTTTATGGACTGGAGTGGTGTGGATCACTTGTGGATTATTGTGATGTTTTTATCAGCTGTTTGGACTCTCATTCCGACGGCACCCATTCACTGCAGAGGATCCATTGCTGAGCAAGAATTTTTCCAAATCCAGTGAAGAAACAAACTCATTTACACCTTGGATGGCCTGAGGGTGAGTAAATTTGCATTTTTGGGTGAACTATTCCTTTAATGATCTGGAACAGAATTAAAATTCAATCCACGTTGCATGTGATGCCCTCACCTGCTGCTTGTCCTCTAAGGACGCAGCTTCCAGCTCATAGTCAGACCGATCTCTAAACGAAATGGAGAACCTGGTACCCGGAGCATCATGGCAGTTTTTCACCTCAGAAAAACAGAGCTGCCGTTTCACAATGCCTTTCTCAATGCTGCACAAAAAGCTTGTGCTGAAATCAATCTGAAGCAAAAAAAAAGGTATGCACCTATTACACGTGGTTTCTAGAGATCAGAGATGTATTCGAGCAGCTCAGCGTGTCGATACACACCTGCAGCACCCGTTTCTGCCATATATAGCGGTTGAACTTGCGGACACTGAAGTTGTACTGTGACTGTTTTTCCTGCAACAGAGATTTCGGTGATAATGTTAAACAAAGAATTCAAGAAATAACTAAACTTTACAAAACTCAACTAGGACTGATTACAATCACTATAGAGAGCTGCTCATAATATTAGGGCTTGTCCTATGAGGACAGGTTGAACAACAAATCATTTCCTTAAAAAGAACTGTCAAAACAAACTAGCTACTTCAAAGTTCTTAAGAAAAATATGTGCTCTGAATGACTTACACACACATTCTGCTGACCTATTTTCTGATTTAAAAAAAACAAAAAAAACAACTCAAAATATATATATTTTTTAAATGTTGATAAGATCTTTAAATCTTCATTTAACATGAAGGTCAGGAGTTGTAAACATATCCCATACTGCACCTCCGGCTCAAAGTTCCTCTGCTTGTGTAACATGCCATTGTTAGCCCGAATCAGAGCTTCATCGATACTCATTTTGCCTGATTTCACCCAGTTCATAACATTCCGCTGCATTTCGTTGCTAAGCTGTAGAAACAATACGAGTTTAAGTCGAGAACTGTGATTATCCTTAAGACAAGCACATGCAGTCTCCATGCAACACTATTTGGCAACAATAACCTCACTCACAACAAACAGTTGAAATGAGGAAGTTTACATTTTTTTCATGCTAGTTCATCTCAGAATTATTTGTGGACACCAGTTGACATGACACGTGTTTTTGTAAATTTGAACTTTTTATAGAGATGGATAAACCATTGTTTTTCTTTTGTTTAATGTCATCAGCTGTCAATAATTGTGGGAGATCAAATGCACAAATGTGTTCATGAAAGCGAGAACACAACTTAAATTTAATTTAATTTAAAAATAAAAAAAAATAAAAAAAATTTAAATGTAAAAATGTAAATTAAATGTATGCATTTAGCAGACGCTTTTATCCAAAGCAACTTACAGTGCATTCAGGTTATACATTTTTTTTTATCAGCATGTGTGTTCTCTGGGAATTGAACCCAAGACTTTTGCGATGCTAACGCAATGCTCTACCACTGAGCAACAAGAACATGTATTATTTATTTATTTTATATATATATATATATATATACACACATATATGCATATATATATATATATATATATATATATATATATATATATATATATACACACACATATATATATATATATATATATATATATATATATAGTTAAAGAGACGAGACTTTTTTCAAAATGTCAACAATTCTGTGTTTTTCTGTCAATATGGGGTGCTGTGTGTACATTAATGAGGAAAAAAAAAAATATAACAATATAACAAAGAGTGAAAAATTTAAGGGGGTCTGAATACTTTCCGTACCCACTGTATATATACACACACACATACATATATATATATATATATATATATAGTTAAAGAGACGAGACTTTTTTCACTGAATATTTGCTTATTCAGTGAAAAAAAAGACTATTATTAAAAAAGAAAAAGTAAGTCCTTACCTGAGGAACATGCACTGTCTTTCTGTAATCCATGTTTCTTCATTGGACTTCAGGAGATCAAAACATAGGCTGTCAGATCACCCATCAAGTGTTGTCAAATAGTAAACTGACTTAGACTGAGGTTTGCAGACATGTGAAAAGGGATGTGTTTATGTGAGAGAGAACTAGGTATGTTTGTATGGCATGCAGATTTATTACTAGGTAACTTCCTTAAATGCAGCTTACCTGAAGGAAAAAAATTAAAAAAGATGAAGTCATGCACCTCCACCCTTTATCTGACTTCTCATCTTTCTGTGGGACATGCAATGTCCTTCCGTCAGTTACAGAGTCATTTACAACATACTCTATGGCTTAACTATTATGTTTTCTCTGCTGTTGTCTCCATATATAGTTGGTTGTACTCTCAAATTTGACGAGTAATATAAAACATGGATACAGAGGTGTAAAGTATTGGAGTAAATGTAATTAGTTACTGTACTTGAATATCTTTTTGGATACTTTGTAGTTGTACTGAGTATTAAAGATATTAGCAACTTTTACTCTCTACTTCACTACATTTCTGAATGAGTATCTGTGCTCTTTACTCCACTACATTTGAAATGAGTGTTGCAGTTACACATTACATTTTGCATGGACCTAGCTTTTTTCTGCAGCAGTTTATTTCTGCTACAAAAGACATGATACTGCCTATTACAGGTCACTGAAAGTATTGCATCTTGTGCTTTTTGCCCTTACTCACCCAAACTTGTCAACAAGGCTACTTTATGTGAATGCGAGTTCCTTAGCAAGTATTTGTGAATCAGAGGTGTTTTATATAAGAGATGAGGACATGACTGCAGCTGGCAATGAGGCCCAAACCAGCACATCCAGTGCAAGAAGGCTTCAGATTTTTATTTAACATTATTTTATTTATCCATTATACTGAAGAGACCCTTTTGAAGGATATTGTTTTTTTGTTTGTTTTGTAATTTTGAGGTGTTCGGTTTTATTTTGGTTTTAGAAAATAAACGTGATTGCTCTCCTCACAATCAACTCTTTCTTGTTTTTGTTACATGTTCTCTGTGCCTTGCCCTGGACTTTTATGTCACTTCCTGTCTCCCGTGGTGTTTGCAGTCAGTTTGTAGTCCGTTTGTTCATTGGTTCCCCTTTATTAGTCTCCTCAGGTGTGTCTTATCTTGTTAAGGCCTGTTCACACCAAGCACGATAACTATAAAGATAACGATAAAGATATAGTTCTAAAAATCGTTCTCAATATTAAAGAATAGCAGAGTCCACATCACAGCTATAACGATAAAGGCACAGAGAAACAATATCGTTGGAATCATTTTCAGAACGATTCTTTTCCAGCTGATGAACGATACAAACATTGACAGCCAATCAGAATCAATCCTGCTATCACAAGCTCGACAATTTAAAGCGACAGACGAGTGTACGCTTAGAATAATCAGACGATATTGTCCACTGGTGTGGACGCTAATGTCGTCCTCACAATCAACTCTTTCTTGTTTTTGTTACATGTTCTCTGTGCCTTGCCCTGGACTTTTATGTCACTTCCTGTCTCCCGTGGTGTTTGCAGTCAGTTTGTAGTCCGTTTGTTCATTGGTTCCCCTTTATTAGTCTCCTCAGGTGTGTCTTATCTTGTTAAGGCCTGTTCACACCAAGCACGATAACTATAAAGATAACGATAAAGATATAGTTCTAAAAATCGTTCTCAATATTAAAGAATAGCAGAGTCCACATCACAGCTATAACGATAAAGGCACAGAGAAACAATATCGTTGGAATCATTTTCAGAACGATTCTTTTCCAGCTGATGAACGATACAAACATTGACAGCCAATCAGAATCAATCCTGCTATCACAAGCTCGACAATTTAAAGCGACAGACGAGTGTACGCTTAGAATAATCAGACGATATTGTCCACTGGTGTGGACGCTAATGTCGTTATCTTTATAGTTATCTATCTTGGTGTGAATGGGGCTTTAAGCTTGTTAGCCCCCTGTGTGTATATATAGCCCTAGTTTTTCTTTAGTTCCTTGTGAGTTGTTTAATGTAGCCCTAATGGTTGTCTGTTTGCCAGTCATGCTGTTATATGTTCCCTTTGGTTTTTGGCTTTTGGCTTATTGTTTGTTCTAGTTTTTCCATTAAATACCTGCACATAGATCGTGGTCTCTGCCTTTTCCCCCAGCTTCTCCACAACATTACAGTTTTTCACTGGCAAATCTCTTTGACTAGTGCATTTTTGAGCCTATATTTAGTAAAAGTAAAATACTTAAGCACTGTTCAAATCAGATACTCTAAGACTTTGACTCAAGTTGTTTTGGAATTGGTGACTTGTAACGTGTAGATGAGTCATTTTCACTGTAAGGTTTCTGTACTTTTACTCAAGTATGGTTTTTAGGTACTCTTTACACCTCTGCATTGATATCCAAATGTGTCTCAAAGTTGTAACACAATGGTTCAACCGTTAGTGTACAGTCGACACAAACTAATCATACGGCAATGCAGACAAAGCAGACTTAAAATAAACTAGATAGGCCTTTATATACAAATAATACAGTGGGGAAAAAAAGTATTTTAGTCAGCCACCAATTGTGCAAGTTCTTCCACTTAAAAAGATGAGAGAGGCCTGTAATTTTTATCATAGGTATACCTCAACTATGAGAGACAAAATGAGAAAAAAAATCCAGAAAATCACATTGTAGGATTTTTAAAGAATTTATTTGCAAATTATGGTGGAAAATAAGTATTTGGTCAATAACAAAATTTCATCTCAATACTTTGTTATATACCCTTTGTTGGCAATGACAGAGGTCAAACATTTTCTGTAAGTCTTCACAAGGTTTTCACACACTGTTGCTGGTATTTTGGCCCATTCCTCCATGCAGATCTCCTCTAGAGCAGTAATGTTTTGGGGCTGTCGCTGGGCAACACGGATTTTCAACTCCCTCCAAAGATTTTCTATGGGGTTGAGATCTGGAGACTGGCTAGGCCACTCCAGGACCTTGAAATGCTTCTTACGAAGCCACTCCTTCGTTGCCCGGGCGGTGTGTTTGGGATCATTGTCATGCTGAAAGACCCAGCCACGTTTCATCTTCAATGCCCTTGCTGATGGAAGGAGGTTTTCACTCAAAATCTCACGATACATGGCCCCATTCATTCTTTCGTTTACACAGATCAGTCGTCCTGGTCCCTTTGCAGAAAAACAGCCCCAAAGCATGATGCTTCCACCCCCATGCTTCACAGTAGGTATGGTGTTCTTTGGATGCAACTCAGCATTCTTTCTCCTCCAAACACGACAAGTTGAGTTTTTACCAAAAAGTTCTATTTTGGTTTCATCTGACCATATGACATTCTCCCAATCCTCTTCTGGATCATCCAAATGCTCTCCAGCAAACTTCAGACGGGCCTGGACATGTACTGGCTTAAGCAGGGGGACACATCTGGCACTGCAGGATTTGAGTCCCTGGCAGCGCAGTGTGTTACTGATGGTAGCCTTTGTTACTTTGGTCCCAGCTCTCTGCAGGTCATTCACTAGGTCCCCCCGTGTGGTTCTGGGATTTTTGCTCACAGTTCTTGTGATCATTTTGACCCCACAGGGTGAGATCTTGCGTGGAGCCCCAGATCAAGGGAGATTATCAGTGGTCTTGTATGTCTTCCATTTTCTAATAAGTGCTCCCACAGTTGATTTCTTCACACCAAGCTGCTTACCTATTGCAGATTCAGTCTTCCCAGCCTGGTGCAAGTCTACAATTTTGTTTCTGGTGTCCTTTGACAGCTCTTTGGTCTTGGCCATGGTGGAGTTTGGAGTGTGACTGTTTGAGGTTGTGGACAGATGACTTTTATACTGATAACGAGTTCAAACAGATGCCATTAATACAGGTAACCAGTGGAGGACAGAGGAGCCTCTTAAAGAAGAAGTTACAGGTCTGTGAGAGCCAGAAAGCTTGCTTGTTTGTAGATATAATATAATAGATATAAATAATACTTATTTTACCGAGGAATTTACCAATAAATTCTTTAAAAATCCTACAATGTGATTTTCTAGACTTTTTTTCTCATTTTGTCTCTCATAGTTAAGGTATAC